GGGCTGCCACTGGGGGCCCTGGGCACTCTGCCCTCCCCCTGCCCTTCCCCTGCCTGGCTGCCAGGGCTGGCATCCACTGCTACTCTCTGGGCCACAGGGCTACACATGCTGTGTGTGGTACCTGCCCCAAGGGGCTGTATGTCCCCCCAGGCACCCCACGGCCCCCTGGGAGCAGGGAGGGAGAAGATACATGACAGGGTACTGGTCTCCCTCTCATGCCCCCAGTCGTCTCCTTCTCATGCCAGCCTTCTGTTGCAGGGCCTGCCCCCGGTGCCATTTGGATCCAGCCTGGCCCCCGAAGCACCCCCGGCGCTGGCAGCAGAAGGCCTCCCCGAGCGCTTTGCCAGCCCTGCCGAGCACCCGGCCCCCTCCTACAGCAGCATGGAAGAAGTTGACTAAGGGCATCATTGTGGGGCACCTGTCCTGGGGGGTGTGGGCTGGGCTGGGGACTGCGGGGTGGGGGAATGGGGAGTGGGTCGGGGTTTGTCCTGCGCTCATTAAACTTGCTAAACTCCACTTGTGGCCACTGCCTGCTATCCCTTGCTGTCCCTTGCCACCCTCCAGTGCCTGGTGACCCCTCCAGGGTACCGTGAGTTCTTGAGGTCCTCAGCACCCAGGTGCTCTCGTGCCCCACATCCTCTGGTGTGCTGTGGTACCCAGTGCACTCTCTAGCTCTCTGTCCCCTGGTGTCCCCCAGGGCCCCCACAAGTACCCTGGCACTCAGTGCACCCTGTAGCTCACTATCCTCACTGCTGCCCACATGGTGCCCCTGGTGTGACTTGATGTTCACTGTCCCATGATGTCTCTCAGTGCCAGCTGTGTTTTGGTGCACCCTACAGCAGCGGGGGGCTCAGCCAGTGTTCCCTGATGTGCCTCGCTGCCTGGCGTCTTCTGATGTGCCCTGTCACCCGTTGGTACCTGGTGCAGTCCTGCTGCCGTAGACACTGGTGTCTCCCAGTGTTCCCTAGTACCGATGCAGCCGGACTGCAAGTTCCAGCGCCCTGTTGCCTGCTGTCTCCCGGTACGCACCACCGCCCGGTGTTCCGCGGTGTCCCCTTGTGCCGGTGAGCAAGGACTGCAAGTCCCGGTTCCGGCTGGTGTGGCAGGACTGCCAGTACCAGTGCTTTAGTGCCCGGTATGCCCGGCATCTGCCGTCCCTCGACGTGCCTTTTCCCCAGTGTCCCCACTGCCCGGTACCCCGGGTGCCGCCCCGCTACCCGGTGTGCCTTATGGCTTAGCGTTCCCCCCGCGCCCGGTACC